TGAAACCATTTTTACTTAACAAAGAACCAGAAACCAAATTCTTCCAGATGTCAGGTACATGCAGTACGTTGTTGAGGGTCAGTTTTTTCTATGATGTCATCTTCAAGATCACTTTTCCTTGTCCAGCCACAGTAGAAGTAGAAGAATTTCCCATGAAAAATTGTTCACCATTTGCAGCCTCATTGTAGGCAATGAACATCTTCTTGTCCGCACAAATGTGACGAGTTTCTCCAGTGTCAACCCACCACTCTTTGGGATTTCCAACCAAGTTAGCCTCAGACACCACAACAGAGAGGTTGATGTCATTTACTCCGTCAGAGATGTAATCTAGTTCAATTACATTGGCCTGATTGGTAGTCTTCTTGTTTGTACTTCCATGATCCTTCTTAGGGTGGCGGCAGTCAGAAGCTCGATGTCCAGTCTTGCTACAGTTATAGCATTTTCCTTTGAACTTCTTGTTGCTATCGCCTTGTTTAGGACCATCTCCAGTAAATTTCCTCTTTTTATTATGTGGTTTATGAACTTGTTCAACCACATTAGCCTTGGACTCAATGGGATTTTTCACATTCCTCTTTTCAGCCTTTCAGTTATCTTCCTCAATTCTCAGTCTTACAATAAGTTCATCTATAGTCATCTCTTTACGTTTATGTTTTAAATAATTTTTGAAATCTTTCCAAGCCGGTGGTAACTTTTCCACTAAAGCAGCGACTTGGAAAGACTCGCTTAGAGACATACCCTCAGAATGATATCATGTAAAATTAATTGAAAACTTTGAACTTGAAAAATTACCGTTTGAGAGTCAACCATAACGAAACCCAAAAATTTACCGACCACAAATTTCTTCGTGCCGACATCCTCTGTCTTGTATTTCTTCTCCAAAGAATCCCACAATTCTTTTGCTGTTTTCAGAGGGCTGCAAACATTATACAGCATGTTGTCAAGGCCATTGAGGATGTAGTTTCTGCATAGGAAATCTGAATGTTTCCAAGCATCTACAGTGGCAACAACTTGTAGATCACTTTCACCCTCTTTAAGTGCTGGAGCCTCTTCATGGAGAAATTGGGCCAAATTAAGGGTTGTAAGATAGAACAGCATCTTTTGCTGCCATCTCTTAAACTCTGTACCGTTAAATTTTTCCAGTTTTTCTCCATGATTGATTGGTATTTGAACATGGTTCTGGATAGGGACCGGTGTTGGTGTAACAATTAGAATATCACTTCCAGTTGCAGTTTCAGTAGCAGTAGCCATAATCTCTAATTACAAAAATCAGAAAAAATTAAAACACAAATTAATTTTCTAATTATTAAGACCAGAAAATAAATTACAACACAAAATAATTTTATTTTCCTTGTTACTAAAACTAGAAAAATAAAATATCACAATAATTTTCTGTAACACAAATTAATATTCTAAAATTGTTAATGACACCAGTATATTATTACTAGTTGTCAAAGAAAAGAGACAGTATATTACTACTATCTGTCAAATAGCATAAACCACTATTTGTTTTTCCAACCAAAATATATCTTTATGAAATCATAGAAAATTAAATACAATGAAGATACCAAATAGAATCTGTCTTAAGATTGTTGGACAATCTTCACTGTATTTAAATAGATTAAATTCTGTTGTGTACTAAACAACAATAAGAATATAAAGAAATAAAGGAAATGAGAGAATTTATTTGATTACAAAAATCAAACTAGAAATAAATAAATAAATAAAAACAGATTTTATTTTGTTACAAAAACAAAATTAAAATCTATTTAATAAACAAATAAAATAGAATAATAAATTAAACAACTTACTTGATTAATTTCTTCTAATAAATATCTGATCAAGTCCAGTGTTTGACACCGTGTCCTTAAAACATATTCGTCCTTTCCACGGTGTTTTCAGAATGTGGACGTCTATCTTCCAGGATAAAATGATCAACTACAAACAATAGTAGCACTACAAATTGTTTGCCTAACGAACACACTAAGTGTTTATACTCTTTCTCACAAAAATTAAATGTAGTAAAATGAAGAATAAATTTGCAGAGGTGAAGTACAAATTTTTTGAATCAATGAAACATCAAATGAGGGATGTCCTATTTATAGATGGAATGGTGGCTGCAGATTTTGAATTAAACAGGTACAAACCTGTTTGAACAGGTATGAAACCTGTTTGGTTTGGTTTTGAATTTAAACAAATTTAAATCTGTTGGGTTCAAAATTCAAATAGATAAAAAAACAGGAAGAGCCCTGTTTGGGTGTACAGTAAAACCGGACCAATTTATTTTCGGAATTAATTTGAATTCTGAATTTTATTTTACCAAAAAATAAAATTAAATTCAAATGTTTTTTATCCAAAAAGATAGGTATTGGGGCCGAACAAGCCCAACCCAACCTCACACCCGTGCCCAGCTTGCCCTACCGGACGGACGGCGGCGGCGCGCGCGTGGTGATTTTTGAGTCTAATGGGTCTAGCCCATTGTGCCCATAACCTCCATCTCTAAAACACTTGGGTACCCCTTGGGGCACACCCCAAGTTCCAATCTCATGCCTTATAAACTCATTCAAAACTTCCCACCAAATCAATGTGGGACAAGCCTTATTCAAACATTTAAGGTTTTTTCACCAAAACTCCATTTCTATGGAGCATATTTTGGCTTTAATTTTCCATTCACTCGGTAATGGTTTTGAACAACCAAATATACCACGTGAATCACAACGTGGCATAGAACGCGTTACCACTTTGACCCGCGAAAATCGACGCTCAGGGCCCACCTAAAAAAAAGACCAAACTTAAGAAAAAATTCTAATTTTACCCAGAATTTTATAACCATTTCCAACACTTAGTTCAACCGTCAGGTTAATCAGAATTGAACCGTGATATTATAATTATTTAATAATTATACAAATAAATAATATATTTTTAAAAATATATTTTAATGTTATATATTTACACCAATATTAAGAATTGATTTTTAATTTTACCATTTTAGTTTTTTTTATACTTTAGTTGCTTAAAAAGAGTTGATTCGTAAGAGTAAAAAATGAATGAATAAATGAAATATATCATGCAATGTTTCTTAACAAGGAGTCTAGTCCAAGTGGTGGAATGCTTCAAAGGGCCTGTAGGCTTCAGGTTCAATTATTTCAAGCCCGCTCCAGTTCATGCAAACCGATACTAGTTCAAACCAACACCCGGTTTAACCGTGATTTTTACCAATTGCTTGAAAATAAGGTGATTTTGAGTTTGAAGTGGGTGTAAGGGTTTATCCAGGCCAAAATTTAAATTGATCAACAAATCAACTGAATTAATCGACGAATCAACTAATAGAACTAACCGGTTTAGTCTGGTTTTGAAAACATTACAATAATATACACTCCACTAACAAGGGGGATTTCAGGGTTGGTGCTATGATAGCACTCATATTGTCACACCCCATGCAAGGATGGATCAAATAGGGGGCAGATGGGGGCAATTCCCCTAAAAAATTTGAAAAATATTAATATTATATTAAAAAAATTAAAATTATAAGGATTTACACTCTCAAATATACTTTCGCACCCCATAGTAATTCTAAATTTGTCCTTAACCCCATGAGGTTTATTCTGACCATATTTTGATGATCCGAACCTTTCATATTATAAGGTTCGTTAAGTATATCTTTCTTGTAAAAAATATAATTAACCAGACAAGTATAACTCCATGATTAAACTAAATAATAATCATAAGAATTTATCAAAATCTTACTAACCGTTTATCTTTTCTAAACATGAATGTGGTCTTATTGTGAGTTACAAATGTTTAATTAACTTAAATTTTTTCATAGATAATGAACTCTACATTATAAATAAATTTAGGATATGCCCTCACAGTTTCACAACACGGTGCTACCAACCCCAGGTTGTAAAACATGAGGGTATGACATTTTGGCCTCGTTTGGTAACAGGCCGGTTTAGTCAAAAAGTCAAAAAATTACTAAAAAAGCCAAAAAGCCAACAACTCGTACCAAAAAGTCAAAGATTCTCTTTTCTCTTTACTTTTTGCACATCTTTTCGTAAAAAGCTAAAAAGTCATTCCAAATATAATAATTTGTTTTAGCTCATATTTTAGCCAAATAATCAAAAAGTTACTAAATTAGTATGTTCCCAAACGAGGCCTTTTGTAAGGGATAAGGCTCCAGCTGAGCTACTGTGGTCCTACTTTGATTGTTTAAATTATTTTTAAAGCATATTAAATAGATAATTTATATAAAAAATAAAATTAATTGAATGTTGATACGATAATTATGATTTTAATAATAATTGATTATTTTAAGATAAATATGATCTAATTATGGAATTACTCAGGCTTTGTGTGGCAACTTGATTTTTTTGATTAAAATAGTTAAAAGTTAAAAAATCATTGTAAAAAATCCAACATCTCAATAATTTACGATTTTCGAAACAACTAAACAAAGTTATTCCTAACTATATATTTACCATTTTTACTACTCCCTCCGTCCCATAATATTAGTCCCTTATTCCATTTTTCATTGTCCCAAAATATTAGTCCCTCTTCAAAAATCAAGTACAAAAATAATATAAATTTCCCATTTTGCCCTTCTTTTAAATTCATAAATAATATAAAAAGTACAATTATGACATTGATATTCTCAAAAAAGTGTACTATCAAAGGGTAATTTTGGAAAACCAACTTTTTAAAAGTACAATAATTGTACTACCAAAAAAAGTTGGATTCCCCAAAAGGGACCATTATTTTGGGACGGAGGGAGTATGTGAAATGTTTTTAAAAATCACTAAAAAAAACAATCCACAAAAGAGGGCCCACAAACACCTCAACGGATGTAAATTTTATGGGACAGTTATGTTTTTCAATAATGTTACGTAAATAGAAAAATCATTATATATCTCAAATTTATTATGAGTATGACTCTATATATATGTTTTAAATTGCACATTATTTTCAATTGATAATTATATATTTTTGTTTTTGTTTTTTCATAGTCCCTTATCTTAGGAGGCTCTGATACCACAACAGCCGCCTTATCCTGGGCAGTTTCCCTACTTCTAAGCCATCCCACAACCCTCAAGGCAGCACAACAAGAAATAGACATGTATGTTGGACATGGAAATGTAAGATGGTTAGATGAATCAGATACCAAGAACTTAGTCTACCCCCAAGCCATCATCAAAGAAACACTACGACTTTACCCTCCAGGACCCTTATCTATACCACGCGAGTCCATTCAAGACTGTCATGTCTCTGACTACTATGTCCCCAAAGGCACTCGTTTGATAGTCAACGTTTGGAAGCTCCAGCGTGACCCTCACATATGGACTAATCCTGATGGGTTCAAACCAGAAAGGTTTCTTGCATGGCAAGCAAAAGAGGATTTAATAGGGCAACAATTTGAGCTCCTTCCTTTTGGTGCTGGCAGGAGGTCGTGCCCTGGAAGCACCTTAGCGTATAAAATAATGCATTTGATACTCGCTCGGCTGCTTCAAGGGTTCAACCTAGAAATGTTGTCGAGGAATGGAAAAGTGGATATGAGTGAGGGGTTGGGGCTTGTACTAACTAAGGCAACTCCATTGGAAGTGTTGCTCACCCCACGCTTATCGGGTGAGTTTTATGATCAACCATAGATAGACCTTCTTAGTGTGTAGTGTGTATTATGCATATGTAATGCATGGTAAATAGGGGTGTATACAAGGTCACCTCTACGTTTTATGACTCTTTTGTACCAATAAAGTGGACCCATATTTAGAATATTGTTTTTGGATCAAGTCCACCAAACTAGAATATAGTACCAATATGTGGTAAGAATTAAAGTGTGTGGTAGAGATTGAATGCATGTATTGTTGATGTTTGTAAAATGAATCTCGATTGCATATTAATGTTTGGTATTATTGTATTTTTGAGTCATTTACGATATTTGAGCGACATGAATTTTGAGGGAAATGAAAATGTGATTTTGAGTCATCATGAATTCAGCCTTTGAAATGAATGAGAATAAAAAAAATGATTCTTCATTATTAATTTCAGCAAAAAATTTTATTCCCCAACAAATTATATGATTCTCTTACTTTTCCATAGATTTTTTGAGAAACATTAATTATTTAAGAGCAAAAATAAAATGGAACTAACAAGACTTAAAATTTTGCCAAATTTTTTTTAAATATTTTCTTTTATAAAAGATTCATAACGAAATTAATGCTAAATGCAAAAATAACATTCATCTAAAAATTTTGTTACCAATAATGTTAATAACATCGTTTTGCTCTCTACTAAGGGCTAGTTTACGAAGTGTTTTTTTTTAATAAAATATGAGGTGAAAAAATTTAAAGTGTTTGAGAATAAATTTTGACTTTTGTGTTTTCATTTTTTGGCCAAATTTATAAACTGAGACCACTGATTTATAAATCAAAAATTTTACCAAACAAGTTTTTATTTGAGTTTTTAAAATTTTTGTAAATATAAACAGAAAACTGAAAACGTAAGTGTTACCAAACGGCACCGAAGTGTTTTTTTTTTATTAAAACATGAGGTGAAAAATTTTAAAGTGTTTGAGAATAAATTTTGACTTTTAACTTTTTTATGTTTTTATTAACTTTTGATTAAAATCTTTTTTCGCCAAACACACCTAAGTAACGAAGCAAAAAAACGTTCGCAATTTTTTTTTTTTTTCCTGCTAAGGCTGGTAAGAGCACAATCAAAATATTCATCAGATTATTTACTATTGTTACATTTTTTTCTTAGCAAGAAAAAACACATCTGGCATGATGTACAGATTATTAGATTTTTTTAGTAATATTTTTTTTGTCTCCTTTGCGAGGATTTCAAAAAAAAAAAATAAGAAAAATGATCCGGACTCCTCCAGGGATGACCCCCAAGACCCCCTCTGGTTTGTGATTGGCCAGATTTTTATTTTTTTTTTTCAATCACCAACCCCCACGTGTGTGTAAGGGGTGGTGGGGGTTGGTGATTGAAGGGATCTTAATCACTTCTGAAAAAATAATATAAATAAATTTAAAAAATGGGTAAATTACACTAACACCTCTGAGGTTTTTATTTAATATAAATCTCTCCTCGTATTTAAAAAAGGAAAATGATTTGTCCCCCGAAATTCTTCCCCCCGAATCCTCCTAATGGCCAAAACGACGTCGTTTTGGCCTTTTTTTTTTTTTTTTTTTTCCTTCTTCCATTTTCGACCTGCAACGCAGAAAAGGGAGAGGGAGAGGGAGAGAAAGAGAAAAGAAGAGGGGAAGAGAGAAAGAGAGAAGAAGAGGGGAAGAGATCGTCGCCCAGCCCGTCGCCCAGGTCCGGTCATCGCAGCAGCAGCTCTGCCGTCGCCTCCAGCCCGCCTCCGCCTCCTCCCACTGTTATGGCCCCCTCCAGTCCACTCCTCTTCCTCCTCCTTCCTCCTTCCTCCTCCTCATCCTTCCTTCTCTTCTCCTTCTCTGCTTCTGGAAAAAAAAATAGAAATTAGGGGGATTTGGGGGAGCTCGTTTTCGAGCTCCCTAGCACGGTCCTTTAAAAAATTACACTTATCCCCTGTCAAGTTAAAATGAAATTTTTATCCCTTAGTCTTTATACGTACAAAATAATACAAATATTTTGTTCATGTCATTTCAAAGGAAATAACAATCATCTTCTTTGGTTTAACTCACACAAAAAAATTAAGTTTTTTTTATTATATTATTTTTATTGAATTTTTAAAAATATTTATTTTTTAGATATGCCTAATCTAGATATACTTGAGAGCTATAATATTTTGTGATTTTTTTTTTAAATTCGCCAAATACAAAAAAAAATATAAAAATATAAAAATTTAATATATTATCTTATTTTGTTGTATTCAATGAATTTTTTAAAAATTTTATGTACAAATTTTATACTTTTTAAATATATCTGGATTAAATTGATCTAATCTACATATAATGGTGGAAATAAAAATGAAAAATTATATTCATATATAAAAATTTATACAAAAAATATCATAAAAATGTTGTGATAGTAATATTATTGTAAATGTAAATCATGTTTATGGATGTTTTGTTTTAAAGTGCAATACCACCATTAAGCTATATCATTATATTTGTAAATTCTCCATAAAATTTATATTTATGTATTATCACTCAATAAGAATATGTTCATATAGAATTTAATGATTGAAAGTTATAGAATGTAGTCATGATGATAGGAAGAAGAAATGATAAAAAAAAAAAAAAGAACAAGATGGTTATTTAGAAAAGCGGCTTTGCTAGAGAGCTCTAATTAGAGCTGCCCTCAAACAGCTCTAATGAGCTGCATCATTAAAAAAAAAAAAAAAAAAAAAAACAAAAAAAAAAAAAGACAAAACATGAGTAGGAAAAAGACAATTTAATGCCTCTTTAGAGCTCAACTTTTAGAGCTCTTACTCATTTTTGTTAGAAAATTTTAGGGCATAGCATCAGCAATATAGAAGGCAATTTGTAATGAGATTACAAACCTCAATGAGGGATAATAATTTTTCAAATGTGAGGGGATTTATATTAAACAAAAATCTTAGAGGGTGCTAGTGTAATTTACCCTTAAAAAATTTTACTTTTAAGTTCTACTATATTAAAATATTCTATAAATTAAAAAATTAAGAACAAATCACTATAAATAAAATAAAATAAATATTTAAATATTTTATTTCTTTATTGAAGTGTTAATTTCTTATTTTTCATATCGTTGTCCACTAAACAAAGTTGAAAAAAAAAATATTCATACAAATTTTTTTAGTTGTTGCCAAAATAATGCAATTCCTCACGTGGAAGAATCTGAGAAAATCTCAAAAAAATGGTGAGAAATAGAAAAAAAATAATCGCAAACTAATACTTATTTGTACAAATTTAATACATAAATCACTTGTATTTTTATAATTTTATAATTATTTTTTTTATTTCTCATTTTATTTTTTAATATTCTCCCGAAGAATAGCGACCATTCATTTGGCTGAGTTGTCCCTCCTGTGGGGGCCACTTCTGAGTCAAACATATGCATATACTCCATAGTGTATCAAATTATTTCTATTGTATTACCCTACTTAATTATTAATGCAGTTCCCTTTTACAATAATAATAATAATAATAATAATAATAATAATAAGAGTAATGTTAAAGACCCTAAATATTCTATCAAAAGTTTTATCAAATGTCTCACATGGGTGTGGGACCTACACAATGTGGGTCCCATGTGGGTCCCATACTCATGTGAGACATTTGGTAAAATTTTTAGTAGAATTTTTGAGACCTCTAACATTTTTCTAATAATAATAAATTGTTTCTATTGAACCCTTCCAAAAGTAATAATAATAATAATAATAAGAGTAATGTTAAAGACCCTAAATATTCTATCAAAAGTTTTATCAAATGTCTCACATGGGTGTGGGACCTACACAATGTGGGTCCCATGTGGGTCCCACACTCATGTGAGACATTTGGTAAAATTTTTAGTAGAATTTTTGGGGCCTCTAGCATTTTTCTAATAATAATAAATTGTTTCTATTGAACCCTTCCAAAAGACCATCACGTTTCAATTAAGGCGTATTTTGACAAGAAAAAAAAAATATTTTTTTAGTTTTTTTTGAAAAAAATATGTATAAAAATAAAAAAGTGATGTGATCCAAACAAGTTAGACTTCTCTTAAATTTAAATATAAATTTGTGAGAATTGTTCGAGCCCATGAAGCCCACTATAGGTCTTATTTTAATGATTCAAACTATTTATTTTATAGAACACTCCGTGTATACATTATTTATGAAAAAAAAATTAAGAAATTACAATTCAATATATGTTTTAAAAAAATATTTCAAATCAGTAGTAAACTTTACCAACTTTAATAATTAAATATATAAAAAAAATTTATAAATTTATAAATATTTTGTAAGAACACCACTTATTTGCAATTTTTCCAAAATAATTAGATCAATCTAATAATTTTTTCAATGTTTTCCCAAATTTTATAATTTAAGTGTATATAAATTAAGTGAATATAAAATATAAAATATAAATTAAAATTTTCTAAACTGTTTTTAAAAATTCCAAAACCAAAGAAAGTGATTGTTGTGTGTATGTGCGTGAGTTGTACCATTCTATGCATTCAAAAAAAAACAAAAAACAAAAAGAATCAAATAATGAAATGTGTAGTTTATATATTTTAGTTATAATTCAAATCATATTAAGGTCCGTTTGGAAATATGTTATTTTAATAATTTTTTACTTAAAATGTGAAATAAAAAAAAAATTAGTATATTTGAAATGATTTTTTGACAAAAAAAAAACTGCAAAAAAGTATATTTTTGACTTTTTTATATAGTTTGTTGACTTTTTCATGTCTTTAGTGACTTTTTAATTTTTAAACTAAAATACACACTTCCCAAACAAGGGCTAAGGTTAAATTGCACTATTGGTGTAGTTTTCAAAAGAGAATATTATACAACTTGTTCTATACACTTTTATTATGAATACAGAGACTAATCATAGAATTAGACACACGATATACATAAATGGATAAAATTATTTTAAGATTTGTTAGTAGGTTCATTTTTAAAAAACTCTTTTGTTCATGTATATTTTGTGTACGAATTTCTGTATTCATTGACTTATTATTTTTTGTATGAATAATGCTATTATGATCATATATTTTTACCACATTTCATATCTCATTTGATGTGGAACATATATAATAGCTTAATAATGACAACAAACCCAACATAAATGTTATTAATATTTAGGGTGAATTACACCAACTGTCCATGTAATTTGAGACTTATGTTACTTTAATCTCTAATTGTGATAGATTTAATCCTAAATTTTAAATCATGTTTCAAATAAGGACATTTGAAGACATTATTGTTCTATTTTAAAGGTAAAATTGTCAATTTAATAAAATATAAACTGCCTTGACAAAAATAAATGTCAAAAAATTATTTTTCAATTTTTAAAAATTATTTCTATTCATTAAAGATAAAGTTATATAAAAATGATAAATCTTTTACATTTTTATTTATTTATTTACCAAATTAATTTTTAGTATGTGTTTGGATGATGATCATGTAACGGGTGGTTGTTTTTGTTGATATTTTTGGATGGTTATCATGTAATAGATGATTGTATTTGCTATTAACAGATATTTTTGAATCATTATCATGTAATTACTGGTTATTTGGCTTTTAATTTCGTTTAATATATAAAATGTTTTTAGTTTTAAATTTTTTGATTTAATGAGTTGGATTAATAATGATATCAAAATTGTTGCCATGTTTGATTTTTAAAAAAAATAAAAACTAATTTAACGAAAATAAATATAAAAAAATTATTTTAAAAATTTATTTCTATCCTCCCAAAAAATAAAATTATATAAAAATGATGTGTTTTTAATTTTTTTCACCAATTTAATTTTTGATTTCTTAGCAAAATTTTTCTAAAAATAGATTCTAAAAATCAAACCAAATCAAACTTTATAACAAAAAAAGGTTCCAGTATTATTCATTAAAAAAAAGTCATTATATTTCAAACAACATATAAGTTAACCAAAACAGAATAAGTTGTATGACGACTTTGTCCTTCAAATAGAGCAATAATGTCTTCAATTATCCTTATTTGTGATGAGATTCAAAATTCAGGATTAAATATATCACAATTGAAAAGTCAGGGATTAAAGTAACACGAGTCCCAAACTATAGGTACTATTAGTATAATTCGCCCTAATATCTAATTAATGCATATGTGCCCCCATCATATGACCAGGAACAAAATTACAGATACAGAATTAATCACATAAGTTTTTGTGAATTATATAAAACTTTTATAACATGCTAGGACATATTGTTTCACTAATATTGCTCTACCTATGCGATTGTTTTATTATCAATTATGTGTCTAAACTTATTGTATGACAAATGAAATTCTATCTTTATAATGGATTTTACTGTGTAATATGTACGACTAGAATTATTTTATATGGTTGATTTTGTGATTGATTTTGTTTTCATAGTCTTATTGCTATGACAAAAATATGTAAATATTAGATGTAACAGATATATCACGTGACATTATCACCATCCAATAAACAATTTTGATTTATAGTAGAAACCACAATAATAATAGGTTAATGGGAGACCATACTTGTCTACTTAATCCCTTTGTAACTTTTTATTAATCTTACATATATTGTCACTGTTACATCAATATATATATATATATATATATGTTGGCTACATATTTTGTAAAAGACCAATTACAGTTCGACGCGTAACAGAGTAAGGGTAATATAGGAAGACTGTTCAAGTCTTCGATCCTGATCGTACACGTGACAGTTGATATTGTCTATTACGTGGTCCGAGTAACATTAGATCAGCAAAGAGATGCAAGGTAACGTGGTTTCAGCAGTTACTCACATTCAAATTCAAATATAGGAGGGAAGCTTAATTGCAAGTGATGGCGTAGTGGAACTACTTGTAAGGCAGCATGATCAGTGATCACGGAGGAGCAGTTCGACAGTTTGAACTGCAGTTCGATGATCATCTTTGAGGAGTATAAATAGCAGGGAAGACCCCAAAAAAAAGCCCCAGACTCAGATCCAAGAAACCAGTCTTACTTTACATATTTCGTTCCAGTTTTTATATTTCCTGTTCTTTACATTCCTGTACTTTAAATTCCTGCACTGCACTTCATTCATAGGAGTAGTTTCAAGTAGATTGTCGCTGTAAGCCACTACGAGACTAAGTTTGGATCATTGTAAATTTTTCATACTAATGAAATGCTTCAATTGCTCTTTATTTAACTGTTCTTGTGCTTAAATTCTCCTAAATCAAGCCACCAATAAAAGTCCTCTTCATTGCGGCTGAAAGAACTACAACACAATCGTCTGATAATTGGTTGGCAATCAAAATTCTGTAAAGACTGATTGATCCTTACTGGCACGCCCATAATTATAAAAATAACCTTCGAAAGCCAAAAAGCCAACAATATATATTTGATAAGAAGAGATCACTACAACAAATTACACTTTTGACGACTTAATTTTTAGTCGCCAAAGATTTTCGCCAACTAAAATTCTTGGTCGCCGTTTGGTTGTTGACTGATTGTCTACGAAAGAATTGGTGACTAATTTTTTTTTGATCATCGAAAGTCGCCAATTAATAACTTAAAATTTAGTCGCCAAAAAAAAAAAATTACAACTTTTTAGCTACCAATTTTTTAGTCGCTAAAACCGTGACTCCTAATTGGCTACCAAATTTTTAATTTCTAAAATCATGATACTCCCTTTTAGCTATTAATTTTTTAGTCGCAAAAAACTTTCATTTTTTTTTTTAGCTACTAACTGTTTAGTGGCCAATAAGTTCCATTTTTATTTTTTGACTACTAAGTGTTTAGTCGCCAATAAGTCTCATTTTTATTTTTTAACTACTAAATGTTTAATCGCCAAAAACTCTATTTATTTTTATTTTAAATGCACAAATTGAATATTTTTCATTAATTTCTAAATTATATGCATTCTATTATCATGCAACCTGTAACCTATACATATTCAGAATAATACATCTATAAATTATAATCTAAATCCATTATCAATAATACCCATTTCATTATCAACTATCCAAAAATTTTAACTGGTAACATCTTATTCCAAGTATCATACAAATCCATTCCAATCAAGTATAATCTATCTAAATTAAATATTACATACAAAAACACTATATTTTCAAAACAGAGAATTGTGCAAAAATAGATGTCTTCCATATACAGAACAAATGCTCTTCATACACAAAAATAATTATTTACAATACCCCACGCAAAAGCAACCTGTAAAAAAATAAAAAAATAAAAAAAATAAAAATAAAAAAAAACGATTAACACTTATTCAATAAAATTGACATTTCAAATTATAACAATTATAAAATTAATAATTCTGATATATTATACTCTGCAAATTATAACAATTATGACAATTTAGTAGCAGACAATTATAACAACTAATAAATTAGGACAACATTGGAGTAATTTAATAATTATTAGAATGTTATCTTTGGGATTCACAACAAAAATCAAGCAAAACCCTTCTACTTGGAAAAAGATCATGTTTTGTTACTAAGAGTTTCTTCCTACTATCATGAACATCTCAAAAATTATTAGGGAGTCAATTTCCACCCAACAAATAGAACAGATACAGCTCCATTCCAGTTTAGTGGAACAAAAATATCAACTTATTTGTATTTCTGGGCTTTTGACATGCGCGGTGACCTACACAAATTCAACACCAGCATGGAACAGTAAACATGACAGCATTTTACCAATAGGAGACATAATTGCAAGTCCTGGGTTTACAAAAAAATAAAAAAACACACACACACACATACAACACACATTAGCAGTGGGATAAAGAAAGCAAACCAGTGCACAAAACTCCCACTAAAGCAGGGACTAAGGAGGGTAAGGTGTATGCTGCCTTACAACGTTTCTACAAAAAATAATTCCCCAAGAAAGAAAGATTGTGTTTGCAAGTTAGAAACCAAATCAATAATAAGATTGGAAAAAAATAAAGAATGCATCCTCTTTCGATGCAAATTATAGGAATGAGGATTGTGAGACTTTCATCTCTGTCTGCCTTAGTTGAATGACTAAAGGTACATATCAACAAAGATTGAAATTACTTTGGCATTTGAACCTTACCATCAAAAGGCTTACTCATGTGATGAAAAGTATATCACCCTTTACCTGCCACAACAAATTAGCAAACAGGTGCTTAACAAAAGAATGGTAGTGAGCAGCACAAACCTCTCAAGAACATCTATAATAGGAACTTGAAGATCCTCCCTGATTGATTGGGTGCTTTGCATAATATAAAAGTGAGCAGCTGTCTTTTCTTTACTTAAGGAGTATACAACATGGCTCTCCAAAATCATGAGATCACTCTGATTAATGCTTATTCCACATGAATTAATCATATTTGATATTAGGAAGTTCTTTCCAAAATCAAAAGCCCAAAAGCAATAGCAATGATAACAGGTGACAGCCATGACAATCATCATATTCATAACTTCACTACAACAAAATTGAATTTTTACGGCTTGCAAATTACTACGGACCTAAACAGCTATCTCAAGCTCTCATTCCACTTCTTCGGCTCTCTAGTTCTGTAAGAATTGTTAATGTCTCATCCGGTTTGGGGCAGCTAAAGGTAAAAAACTTTCCCTCAAAGGCTGGTTAAACTGTGCTATAAATTTAGCCCGTGACATATAACTAAATGTTTTTATGCAAAATGTTACAAATGAATGGGCAAGAGAGGTACTGAGTGATGTTGATGGACTCACAAAATAGAGAGTAGATGAGGTAGTGAGTTGGTATTTACAGGATGCTAAAGAGGATTTGTTAAAGGCTGGTCTGTTCGCTCTGCATATGTTGTCTCCAAAGCAGCTCTTAATGCCTATACGAGGTTTTTAGCTAAAAAATTCCCAAATTTTGGCATAAATTCAGCTACTCCTGCCTTTTGTAAAACAGACATGAGCTTTAATAATGGACACTACACGGCTGAACAAGGTGCAAAAAGGACCTGTAAAGCTGGCTTTGACAGTTGGTGATGGGCCTTCTAGCCTGTTCTTCTTTTAGACGGAAGAAACAACCTTTTAGTATCTGCTAAGTGTTGAAATTGCCTATGAACCCAACTGGGATTAGCTCTACTTTGATGAGATGCATGTATCATCAATCTTCTAAGAATAAACAGTCCCCAAATTTCTGATTTTTACAATGAACTCGAATTACAAGCATTTGTTGTATTTTGAAGAGAAAAAAAAAAAAAAAAAAAAGCACCATTTTGAGGTATTGAAATAATAATAACTCCTTTGAAGCATGTGATGGATACAACATTCTTTCTTGCATTCTCTAACACATAATCACATGAATGATAAAACCTTCACAGAATTGTAATACTCCAGAAAAGAGATGCTCCAGCTATAAATTTCCCAGTCGGTGCTTGAGAAACAATGATGTATGTGTATCTGTGTCTAAAATTATCAACGATAAACTTACAGATAGTAAGTGTGATTTTTAAGGAATGTGAACAAATTTACCTCCAAGTCAAGATTTCTTGAGATATATTGGTCTGTTTCAAACTTCAGAGTGGCTCCTTGCAGCATTTCGGTTCACACAGCATCCCACAAAGTAGATTATTGACTGATTTCACAACATATAATTGTAAGAAAAATAAATGAACTCGCTTAGAAGGTCCTGATCATATAAACACTGTCAATAAAATGATAATCTACAAATATTATGCTACTTTCATAATACAATTTGTCAATTTCAACAGTAGAAGATATAAAATGCAATTCATATGCCATATTATCTGTTGTTCCTCATTCGGTAATGAGAAAAAGATAATTTGATTTGTTCCAAAAGATAACTTGATCTGTAAGAAAAAGAATAAACTACAAAATTATCTACTAAAGAGGGCAAGAAGAACAGAAAACCAGGATTAAAATTCTTGCTTGTCATCGGATTATACAGTTTCCAGCTTAAATAATTTTCCCTTTTAAACCTCATGCTTGTTGTTCCTCATTCGGTAATGAGAAAAAGATAATTTGATTTGTTCCAAAAGATAATTTGATCTGTAAGAAAAAGAATAAACTACAAAATTATCTACTAAAGAGGGCAAGAAGAACAGAAAACCAGGATTAAAATTCTTGCTTGTCATTGGATTATACAGTTTCCATCTTAAATAATTTTCCCTTTTAAACCTCATGCTAATCTTCAAACAATAAAGAAAAGGTACTTCTGCATCTTTTTATTTATTTTTGGTAAGTAAGAGATTTATTATCAACCATATCAACTAGTTCCAGTTGTTCCTAACAACCACAATTTCTTTTGCAATTGAATGTTAGACAAAGAAAGAAACGGAGAAATAAATTCAGACGTTTATCAAGAAAAATCCATATAAAAGTTTGCATATATGCTTCTGATTAATCTCATCATAGACCTCACGTTTATTTAGCTTAACCATAGGAATGGAGTTACAGTCTGTACCTTGTTACTTATGATGTTTTTTTCCCTTTATATGCATGACCTTATTTTTTTTAGATTGTGTTCGACTCTCATCTTGGTTTCAATGCATTGTCACAAACTTGTTGATCCACATAATTCTGTGATTCTTGCAGGACTTGTTTTATTACTCGCTGAATGATAAACAATAAGAAAAGGTTCATGAGTACAACTTTGACCATCCCGGTAAGGATTATGTGGAGTTTTTAGTTCATAGATGGTATGACTGCATAGACTTTAGATATATCTGATATGCTTACTAGTTTTCATTAGACATCTACATATACTATTATAATGCCTCTTCACATTCTGGATGTTTTGCAGATGCCTTCAATACAGAACTTCTCCTTTCATGCATGGAAAAATTAAAACATGGACAGGCAGTTAACATCCCAAATTATGATGTCAAGAGTCATAAATGTGTTGAACCAGAACGCAAGATACTAACCTACATTTGTCCAAGTCAAATTTCCTTATTGCAAGAGATTTGGAAGAGGTTCAGATTTTTTAGATGTTCTTAATGTGATTTTGAGGCATAATAACTTGAAACCACTAGTGGGGTCATACTTTCAATCAAACATTATGTCTCTGACCTGTGAAATCATATTGTTGATCTTATGATGGTACATACATTTTACATATGTTAGAAAATGGGTAGTCCAGCAATGGCATATAAGGCTAGACTGCCCATGTGATGTTTCATGCATATAATTTAGCATAAAATTACATGGAACTGGAGTTGCAAACAGTGACAAGATAGTTACTTTGTGTGCTCAGATGCAATTAGTCACATACACTTGGTTCCTACAATTGTGCTTATGCTACTGTGTCTATCTTCTTCTTACAAGGGTGATAATAAAGTTCCAATGAGAACAAATGAATTTAATCAATGGTGCCATTTTAATCAAATGTAGGTTAACCCTTCAGATGTCGTCATTTTGGAAGGGAATTCTAGGCTCTGTTTAGTTGTATTTTCAAATTATAATTCTACCCACACATTCTAATACCATGTTTGGATAGGATTTTCAAATCATATTTTCACACTAAACAGAAAACTCAGTAGAAAACACTCAGTGTCAAGCGGGATTTTTTTTTTTTTTTTTTTTTTTTTTTGAAATTTGGCTTAACCGGTCGTCCCACCGGACATCCGGCCAGTCATCCCACCGGTTGACCTGCCAGACGTGCTAAACAGTGCGATTTTTTTTTTTTAAATAAAACAATATTTTTGAAATTTTTAAAATTTTTTTATAAGCTTTTCATAGAATTTTGAATTGTGTGTTTGGTTATGAGTTGTAAGTTTTTGTATTAAATATCATGTCACATCAAAAATTTCCCCCTCTTTTCAAAACTCATTCACCAAACAAATTTTCTATACTCAAATCATAATTCCAAAACTCAAAACACAACTCATATTCTCAAATCATAGTTAGAAAACTCTACCAAACGCAACCCTAGTTCTTCATGATCCACGCGTCTGTGATCTCATGAACATGAAGATCTTTGTTGATACAGGTTCTTATTTTGGCCTCTATTTCCCTAGATTCTCTCTTTTATGTGGTTCTCCAAATTATAGAATATGTCAAGGGCAAATTATACTAACAGTCCCTATAGTTTGAGACTCGTGTCACTTTAGTCCCTGACTTTCCAATTGTGACACATTTGACCCTGAATTTTGAATCTTGTTCCAAATAAGAACAATTGAAGATATCATTGTTTAATTTCAAAGACAAAATCATCAATTTAATAAAATATAAACTAATTTGACAAAAATAAATGTCAAAAAAATATTTTTAATTTTTAAAAAATTATTTTTATCCACCAATGATAAAATTATGTAAAATTGATAAAAATTAATAAAAATTGCATGATTAATTTTTAAAAATTAATTTTACATGATCATTATTCAAACACATAATAAAAATTAATTTGGTAAAAATAAATAAATAAATATCTAAAAGATTTATCAATTTTACATAATTTTATTTTTAGTGAGTAGAAATAATTTTTAAAAATCCAAAAATATTTGTTTGACATTTTTTTTTATCAAATTAGTTTATATTTTATCAAACTGACGATTTTACCCTTGAAAAATCTAATAATATCTTCAATTGTCCTTATTTGAAACAAGATTCAAAATTCAGAGTCAAATGTGTCACAATTGAAAAGTCAGGGATCAAAGTTATATAAGTCCCAAACTATAGGGGACTATTAGTGTAACTCACCCATATGTCAATGGAAAAGAAATTATAGTTTGTTGTAAATAGGTTCAATATTCCGATATTTGTCTTGGAAGGATTTTTTAATTTGTTTTGACCCTGAGGCAAGGAAAACAGAACATAGAAAACAAGAGAAAGAACATGAAAATTACCTTATTAGAAAGCTCATGTGTCCAAGCGCCAAGTGGGCCTCTAAAGCGGCATAACACGAAAACAACAAACAGAACCACATTAACGGTTGTCTACAATGTCTTCTCAAAACTGGGGTCTACACCTCCACTAGGAAAAATGTTTTTAAATTCCTGAAATAAATTTAAAATCGATCAATTTCTATCTTTTCATGCTATGACAAACACAACAGACCCAATTCTCAATGGCTATCTAATAGCAAACTAGCATGACATTTAAACACAAATCAAGGCCTCTTACGAAAGCTGAGGATTACAAGACTAAATTTCTCATCTTAGGGATAATTGAAATCATGTAAATTTTAGATTATTTTCCTCACTTTAACTAATTAATTAAAAGAAAAATAATTCTGAAATAAAACTTCATTAATCTAGGAAAGCATTTGACAAATTAGTTTCATCCAAGTTCGAATACATCTAAAATTATTTTTATCTGATGAAAACAAAAAGAAAATGCATATTTCAAATGTTAAATGTATAAAATGAAAACATATCAAATAAATCCCACCTATATTTAGTGAGACTGTTTTAAACTGCATATTGGATTATAAATTAAACTGCATTAGTAATTAAAACCCTAGCCATTGAATGAGGTGGTTTTGCTTTAATGAAACCTAAATAGCCAAGAAATTTCAAGGTGCAAATCTACTGCAGTCAATCTGCATTACCCACACAGGGGAGTATGTTTATGTAAAACCAATCAGGTTGGTTTTCATATCACTGAAATTTCCATTTTCTTTCAATTTTATTTGGTTCATGGGTCAACTATATTAAGAGATTCCATAGCAATATATATCAAGCACTCTAATCAGAGATTCATATACTAAGATTTACATTAATACATTCATATATACCTGATCAATGCCAGATTCGGAAGCTGATAGATGAATTTCGAGCCTGATCGAACAGAGCAGGGAGAGACATCTCTTCTATCTTCAATTCGCCCATTGGTGATGTAATCGACATGGAAAACCCTAGAAATTGCAAGGGTCATCCGTTGATCCAAACCCTAGACGTAGATTCAAATTGCAAAATAAGAAGAAATGAAGGAAGATAGAAACAGACAGAAGAACTTCCGAGAAAGAGTACCTTGAACTCGATTGAAACCCTAGTGTAGATTCAAACCCAAAAACAAGAAGAAACAGAAAAAGAAACTTAAGAGAGAGAGAGAGAGAGAGAGAGAGAGAGCGTACCTTCAATCGAGTTCGAAAGAATTGGGATTGAGAGATTGAGAAGAACATGAAGGAGAAAGAAAACGAGATTGAGAGATTCAGACCGAGAGAGAGACAGAGAGAGTGAGACAGAGGGACAGAACGACAACGCGTGAGAAAGAGACAACAATCAGTGTCTGTGACGGGCTAGGGCAAATATAAGGAAAAGGAGAAAATAAATGAAAGAAAATAACAAATAGTGACTAAATATTTTTTAGTAGCCAAAACCTTAACAACCGGCGACTATTTGTTTGATCGCAAAAAGTAGTAAATTGGTGATTAAATATTTTGGTCACTAATTAATTTTATAAATTCCTCCAAAATTTGAAATGTTTTCCTCCAAAGGTGACTAAAATTTCTTTTTGTCACTGAAAATAAGTTTTTGGCGATCAAATTTTTGGTCGCCAAAGATAAAAAATAATTTTTTATTTTTCATTCAGCGACTAAATGGTTTTAGTAGCCAAAACTCAATATACAGCGACTAAAATATGTTTTTGTCGCTGAAAATATGTTTTTGGCGACCAAATTTTTGGTCGCCAAAGATAAAAAATAATTCTTTATTTTACATTCGGCGACTAAATTGTTTTACTAGCTAAAACTCAATATACGGTGACTAAAATATTTTTTTTGTCGCCAATTCTGGTATGTTTAGTGACTAAATTTTTGTTTAGTCGCCAATAATCAATATACCCATATTAAAAAAACTTAGTAGCTAAATATTGTATTTTTGCCAACTAAAAAAAAATTTGGTCGCCAATTCGACAACATTTGGTGACTAAATTTTATTCAGTCGCCAATTTTGGTCGCCAAAGGTGTATTTTGTTGTAATAGATTGCCATCGCATTACTCATTATGCTTGTTTGATTGGCGGATTATACCATATGATTGAGATTATTAATTCATGAGATTCATATTCTATTATTTTGGTTGAAATTTTTGTTATCTAGATTAAATTTCGATGAACATTCCTTCCAACAAAATTGATAATTTTTTTAATCATACAACTAATAATGTAAAAGAAATATATAATTAAAATTATATATTTTCCACAATAAACATGTATTCCATTAATCCAATTAAACAATCAACCTTACACTAATTTCGTAAATTATTAATTTATTTACTAAATCATACTAATCAAATAGTAGAAGTATCTCCAATTAGGAGTGAGCATGGTCTGGATTGGACCGGATTGGGATAAAACCAGGACCAATCCGTTATCTACGGTTCTTGAAAAATTGGAACCAATCCAATCCGTTTAAATCGTAGAACCAATCCGAACCAATCCATTTAAACCCGGATTGGATCGGTTTAGGACCACAGATTTACGTAATTAAATAACAAAAAAAAATATTTAACACTTTAATTTCATAAAAATATAAATATAGCACCATATTAGTTTCACAATAACATATCTTTTCATAATAGCGACATACTGTTCTAGAATTTAAACAACCATAACAAAACTGATTCCACCATAAGTATTTAGACCATTACAAATTAACATTAAAAACTAGTAAACAAAAGTAATAAAATGAGATACTATGCGAGTTTAGGTTTGGATTTAAATTTTATATAAAATAAGAGAAGATACTATACAGGAGGGTGTATAATAAAAATATAGACTATTTGTATACGGTCCAAATCGGTTCCAATCCGGAACCGTGGGGTTCAACCCGGAACCAATCCGTGAACTATGGATTTTTAATTTTTTAATCCGGAACCGAACCACGGATTCCAAAAGCCAATCCAAACCTACTGGATTTGACTGGACTGGATCGGATTACGGATTTCACGGATTCCTTACTCAGCCCTATCTCCAATGGTAGTTGTTATTAGAGCATTGTTAAAGTTATAATTTGACATATTATAGTAACAAAATATCAAATTATAGCAATAGTGTTATAATAGTCACATGTCATTTTGGCACACCTTCAACCAACTTTTTCTCTCTTTTTTTTTTTAAGTAGTATTTGGATTTAAATTTTTGAGTAATTTTTTTGTTTTTTTGTTTTTTATAATCTTTTCAAAAAAAATTATATATTTACGCTATAGATAAATAAAAAAATTATAATTAAAAAAAAATTGTAATTCGCATCATTCCAGTCCTTTTAATCTTCCTAACCATTGGATCAATTTCAATACGAGCATCCAATGGTTGAATATCAATCTAACCGTTCTCCCACTTTGCAGAACTTTCCCGTCTCTTTTGATCCCTTCCTTGAGGATTTATCAGGGTTTTTTTAGGAATTCTAATCAATTGTGTGTCTTTTTAATTTTATTAATTGCTCTATATAATACATAGAAATAAAAAATTATAAATTATAAATATATAATTAATAAAATTATAAAAACATATCTGCGTAAGTAGGGTCGGAATTACTCAACACCAGGGGTCAGGTATTCCTCAACTTTTCACTTTTTTTTTTTTTGAAAAATATTTGATGATCTATATTTTTGTAACTCGAATGATTTAAATATATCAAAATAATATCATTTTACACTTAAAATAACACCATTTTAAATATTTCGAATCATTTGAGTCATATTTTTTAAACTACCTATCATTATTATTATTTTTTTTTGTTCTTAGTTGAAAAGTGATTCACAGCCCAGCCCCCACTGACACGACACAGGCCCATGTCACTTCACTTTTTAATTTTTGTTTTCTAGTCCCATTTCCAACTAAACTGACACAGCCGAATCACAAATATTTTTTCTAAACAACAATGATAGAGATCACTAATTTTGGAACTCTAAAAAGACTACTAATGACATGATATTCAATAAAAAAGAAAAAAATACAACATCAAGACCAAAACATCAAATCATTCATGGTGGAGCCTACTGCCACATCATTAATGGTAGCACTAATTAGTGCTCCCACTCATTTTCCTTTTTCTAAATCTCAACTGTTTTATTTTTATTTTTATTTTTATTTTTATAATTCTTAACTCGCTGGGTAATAGCTAATCTAAAAATAAAAAATAAATAAAATTACTGAATAAGGCTTTCAATGTCAGGACCTCTAAAATTTTAAAACTGATAAATATTTATAAAAAAATGGTAAATTTTTACATTTTTCGTTTTTTATTTTTTTATTAAATTAATTTTTAATATATATTTAGATGATGATCATGTAATGAGTGGTTATTTTTGTTAATATTTTTGGATAGTTATCATATAATAAATTATTGTATTTGCTGTTAACAGATATTTTTGAATGATTATCATGTAATTGATGGTCATTAGACTTTTAATTTCATTTAATATATAAAATATTTTTAGTTTTAAATTTTTTAATTTAATGAATTGATTTAATAATGATATCAAAATTGTTGCTATTTTTGACTTTTGAAAAAATAAAAACAAATTTAACGAAAATAAATATCAAAAAAATTTATTTTAAAAATTTATTTCTATCCTCCCAAAAAATAAAATTATATAAAAATGATGTGTTTTTAATTTTTTCACCAATTTAGTTTTTAATTTCTTACCAAAATTTTTCTAAAAATAGATTCTAAAAATCAAACCAAATCAAACTTTATAACAAAAAAAGGTTCCAATATTATTCATTAAAAAAAAGGCCATTATATTTCAAATAACATATAAGTTAACCAAAACAAAATAAGTTGTATGACGACTTTGCCCTTCAAATAGAACAATAATGTCTTCAATTGTTTTTATTTGGAATGAGATTCAAAATTCATGATTAAATATATCACAATTGAAAATCAGGGATAAAAGTGACACAAGTCCCAAACTATAGGTACTATTAGTATAATTCGCCCCAATATCTAATTAATGTATATGTGCCCCCATCATATGACCAGCAACAAAATTACAGATACATAATTAATCACATAATTTTTTATAAACTATATAAAACTTTTATAACACGCTACGACATACTATTTTACTCATATTACTCTACCTCTGTGATTGTTTTATTATCGATTATGTGTCTAAACTTATTGTATGACAAATGAAATTCTATCTTTATAATGGATTTTACTGTGTAATATGTACGACTATAATTATTTTATATGATTGATTCTGTGATTGATTTTGTTTTCATAGTCTTATTGATATCTTAAAAATATGTAAATATTGGATGTAACAGATATATCACGTGACATTACCACCATACAATAAACAATTTTAATTTACAGTAGAAACCACAATAATAATAGGTTAACAGGAGGCCATATGTAACAACCCTCGTACTGTTTACCGATTAATGACTGATTGATTACCGATAAACATTGATTACCGTTAAACTGAACTGATTATGACTGATAATTGGACTGGTTAAAGTACTGAACTGACTGACTGAAAACTGGAACTGAATTGACTGAGTATGTATGTTAATTTGTATTCTATCTGGTTGATTGATTACTTGATCTGTTCGTATTTTAATGTTTAAACTGCTAATGGAAGGCCTTATCGGCGGCCGAACCGGGAATTGGTTAGTGTTCTATGATCATCATAATTAATGTGATTTTATGGTATATTTACCTGAAAACTGATTAGGTATGATTAAATTAGATTAAAACGAGTTCATTGCAAAGTTTGCCGTAATTACCAAATTGCCATCCTTAGTGGCCCACTCAATATAACATGTGAGCCTTGTATACACTTGAAACAAACATTTCCTCAGCCCTTTCTTGAACCTTGCCGACCTAGAGAGTACAGAGGGAGATAAATTGGTTTTTCACCTTGAATTGCTTGGAAACTTGAAGAATTGCTTGGTAATTGAAGTGTAGATTGCTAAATTGGACCTCTAGACTTGCATTCAAGGAACCTAGGTAAGGATTTCATCTTCTCATTCTTGTGTTTGAACTAATTCTTGCATGGTCCATGTTAAATTGTAGAGCTAAGTCATGTTTTAGTTCATACATGTTGATATAGAGCATAATTCATGCTTGCATGGTTGAATTGATGAGTTTTGAGTTGAATTCATGGTGAAGTTGTACATGCATGTTCGTAATTAGGCTTGAGTCCATGAATTCATCATGTTCTTGAAGAAATGAGTCCATCTGAACAAGCTTTGAAGGTTGAATTCGGTTAGAATCCATGCATGTTTGCATGTTCATATTGCTCATGAAATTGGTTTGAAATTGGGTTTGAATTAAACACCTTTGGGCTTTGATTTCTCAAAATTGAAC